CCTACCTACCTACCCACCTACCTACCTACCCACCTACCTACCTACCTACCCACCTACCTACCTACCAACCAGTTTGTCTATATATCTGTCTACCTATCATCTATCAATCAATTCGTCATTCAGTCCCTCTATCATCTATATATTGTTAACAAGTCAGTATTGAGTGTTATATTATTCTTGAGGTAACTGAATCAACAAGTGTCCTAATATGTAATCATTACTTGACAACAACTGGTTTGGTTTTGGGTTTCCTGTCGAACTTGATACTTACAGAGTAGTGAAATTGTGATTTTCCCCTTTTTTCCCTCTGGTATTTCTCCTGTTGTGTCCTGTTGCTCTCCTTTTCTTTGAAGTTATTTACAGAGGTTTATAGCAGTGTTTCCCCTTGGCTTCATCTGGATTGCTCTTTAATGGTAGACAGCACTTCCATGCTCTAATCACTCCACATGAAATCTCTTCCCTTTGAAGCGGTGTTGGGCCTGGTGGCTGGAGGAGTCACGCTGCTGCTTCCAGAGACCAAAGGGAGGACTTTGCCGGAGACCATCGAGGATGCTGAGAACTTCTGGAGGTAATGCCCTGGGGAACCTAAAAAGGGTCTAGTGACCACTTTGCAGTCCATTTCCTTTCTGTTCAAGGTTTAGGACTAGCTTTCCATAGACCTGAATGTATTTTTCTGGCTTCTCAAGCCACTTGATATGGAAACGAAACACAAATGAAGCGACTGTGAGCAGGGAATGCATATCCAGTTGCCATCAACTTGATTCTGACTCATGGTAGTAGGTGGCAGAACTGTGTGTCAGGGTAGAACTGCTCCATGGGGTTTTCAGAGCTGTGACCTTTCGGGAAGCAGATAGCCAGACTTTTCTTCTGAGGCATCTCTGGGTGTGTTTGGAGCATTAACCTTTGACTAGTTGCCTAACATCGAGTCCTGGTGTGGCTCAGTGGGTTAATGCATTGGACTGCAAAGTTGGTTTGATCCGCAAGGTTGGCAGTTCAAGCTCACCAGACACTCCTCAGAAACCCTGTGCAGGTTCACTATGGGTCAAACCAACTTGATGGCTCTTAATAACAACAACAATTTAATAATTTGATAATCATTTGGGACTCATAGGGAAAGAGTAGAGGGCAAGGACCTGCGTTTTTAATGGACAATGTTCTCTGAATTGCTGGAGCAGAAGATTGCAGGGGCATGGGGAATCCCTGGCTCAGCCCCTGAGAGTGAATAACTAGGAGTTGGGCACATTGTTAAATCAGTCTTCTGTTCTTTTAGTAATTGTTGGATCCAATCCTTCAGTGATTTTCCTCCCAAAGGAAAAATGACTTCAATTTTTCTTTCTTGCAACAGAGGCAAGTGGCTTTTGGTGGAGGCTAAGATTTTACTCTTCAAACAATAACAAAGGAAGGAAAGAAATTGAGTGATGGGGTGGTCTCTCTGTACCATACAGTCCCAGTTTCTTGATTCCACAGTAATGACACAGCATCTCTGTACATGGAAAGAGAAAGGTCTGTAGGGTCATGAAGACCTGGGTTCAAATCCTCTCTGGGCCTGTGACTTTGGAAGTGTTATTTAAAATTCAGACATTTAATTCCCTTACCTGAAGACTAGCCATGGTAACCCTTAATTCTGAGAGCAGTTGTCAAAATTCAATGGATAAAGTAGCCTGTAGGGCCTATTCCATTGTTTGGCACATGTTGGTGTTAAGTGCCATTGGTCAAATCAGTTCTGACTCATAGCAACCCTGTATAGGGTTTCCAATGAGCAGATGGTGAGTTTGAAACCCTGACCTTGTGGTTAGCAGTCCACTGCTGATCCTACAGCACCATAGCAGGACTCCATTTGGTACAATAAATATCATCACTTTTTTTTTTCATCCTTATTGTATACTGTGTGATGTTTCCAGGGGTTCTCAATTTTTAGTATGCACAAGACTCACAAAGAGAGCTTGCTGAAGTGCAGATTTCTGGACCACGTGCTTTTAATGGCTCTATAAGTGCCCATGTAAGCGCTTTGTAAATTCCACTTTGGGAAATTCTGAATGGTTCAGTACCAAAAGGAGACAAATGCCTTATATAAACCATAAATACACTTTTTAGTTGGCAATTTGCTTGTTTGGGCCTTGAAGTGCAGGAGCATACAGTTAATGTTGTGTTGCTTGGTTTAAAAGGTTTCATTTTAATTTGCTAATACCCCTTTGGTCATCATCTGTTTAACCCCTTGTCTCCATCTGGCCTTTCTATGGGTGGCCTATGCTTCTTCCCTGAACCCCATATCCCCTTGACATCTTGTACACCTCTGGTCTTGACCGGTACTCTTCACACATTGTAATCATCACTATTTTATCATCCGTCTCTCCACTACACTGAATCCTACAGGGAGTAGCCACTGTCTATTGCAAGTGAAAGCAGTTCCTCTTCCCTGCTACTTTCAAAGGGAAAATAGAGATCAGTTCTCACAGGAACTCCAGTTAACATCTACGGAATGTGTCAAGTATTTCCCAGGAAGCTTTGCGTGCATTCTCACTCAGTCCTCTCATCACGTAGGGAGGCAGCTACTACTGTCATTGAACCCCTTTCACAGGTGCCCCCAAATCTCTATTCAAAGTGAAAGGTTGACAATAGTGGTGACTCAGCTATGCAGCAACAAGATTGGTGTTCTACATGAGGGCTTCTAAAAGTTCATTGAAAATTTAATTAAGAGATAATGGAATAATAATCCCATGACCTTGCTGAAGCCCTCTCACATTTCCTGGGTCAACAAACCTTCCCTGTAAAGAAAGGGTCAGATAGGAAATCTTTTAGGCTCTGGGGCCATCCAAGCACCATCGCCATGACTCAACTTTGTAGTGAGAGCATAGCCATGGACAATACTGGACCAAAGGGTAGGACTAGGATCCAACACAAATTTACTGATGGACATTGATCTTTGAATTTCATCTATTTCTCAGTTGTCACAAAATATATTTTTTAAAGCTTTTATTGTGAATTGAGTGATAGTTTGCATGGTAGAACATCCGTTTTGCAGTCAACCAATTGCATTTTGTTTGACTGCAATGACTACAATCTCCTCTGTGCACCATCATGGGTTAACGGTATTTGCATCTATTCCCTCTTTATTGTTTTTTATTTTTTTAATTTTTATGATGTACATAAAAACACACGGGAATATATAATCATTTAAACAACCAAAAGGCACATTTTGCAAGTCAGGCTTCTAGCCTCCAGCGCACAGCCTGTCTCTTTCCATGAGTCTAGAGTCCTCAGTTGTTTTATCTCTCCATGTTATCACCTCTGCCTCCATCTCTCGTGTCGCTGCTTCTCTGGTTAGGATCCTATTTTCTGCTCATGCTCTTCCCTCCTGATGGTCTTAGGGTCCTCTGTTCCTGGAATGTAAGATTAACTACTTTCCTTGTTGTGTTACACAACTCATACCTTTACAGTAATTGTCACAAAATATTTTTATCTTGCTTTTTTCCAAATATTAAAAAATGTAAAAAAGCACTCTTCACTCCAGGACTGTACAAATATAAGTGGTGAATAAAATTTGGCCCAGAGCCTGCACATTGTCTACCCTTTCTCTAAATTGTTGCTTAATCTCCTAGTCCTCTCTCTTGTGCCTGAAAACTTATCCCTGCTTATAAGTTTGCAACATCTTCTTAATCAAACTATTGGTTATTTTTTTTATCTTACCATTTTATATTTGTTTGTTACAGGAAAGCAAAGCCCCAAGAAAACACAATTTATCTTCAGGTTCAGATGTCAGAATTACCTGGCACCTGAGAGAAATGCTTCCTTGGGGGCTGATGATGTGCGGACGTTCTGGAAATCCTCCTCTCCACACGCTTCCTCATACTGTCTGCCCTCAAATTAACATCAGTCCTAAAGGATGATGTGAGTGGGCTTTGCTTTATATCATTTGATTTCTGTTAAAACCACCCAAAGCCCCAATTATAGTGGATCTTATACTTTCTAGTGGACGTGGTTGGTGGTGACAAAATAATTATGTAAAGCATTGTGAAGACCCAGAGGAATTCAAATGTTGCACAATAAAGAGGTCTCTGCAGCTACTTTTTCTAGAAGTATGGTTTTATTCACTGTATGAAAGAAAACACTTTGTATTTTAGGTATCTGTGTTGGCAAAAGCATTTAGACATAAACCGTATTTTCACATACAGTGTACCCATATAAATAACATGCACATGCATAAATGTGGATCATGTATACAAGGCGTTGAATGGTCTGGGAAAATGTGTCATACGTGTATTTTTTGCATAAACAAATGGTAATTCTTCCCTGAGTGCACTTGGTTTTTAAGTATGATAACTCTTCTGGCAAGTCGATTCTAATTCACGGTGGCCCCATGTGTGTCACAGTAGAACTGTGCTCCATGGGGTTTTCAGTGACTGATGTTTGGGAATTAGCTTGCCAAGTCTTTTTTCCAAAGCACTTGTGGGTGGACTTGAACCACCGGCCATTTGATTAGCAGCCAAATCTCATTCAAAGACCAAAAGCATTGTTATTGGAGGGAAGAAGTTTCTGCCATCTCCGAATATGCTAACCATGAAGTATAACAGTAAATGTATCAAAAGGAGTTGCATTCGCTATGACTTAATATCCTTCTTGAACCCTATGCAGTGATTGGTTACTGGAGTAACCAAACATTTTCATTAAGGTGTTTCTTTACCTGTGAGACAAACCACAAAGGCAAATAATAGCAAGGTTTCAGAGTACATGGAAACAAAGTTTCTAATTAGAGATGCTAATTAGAGAGCTGATAAATTATATATGTGGTTGTATTGTACACATTGTTGGCATAAGTAACTGTAGTGAGTTGAGGGAGTTCAGGGCTGAGCAAGGAAGGAAGATATGACCACAAGATTGCAGGGTTGCATAAATTTATTTTTTATTGGGGTGATGCATTGGCAGCCACATGTATGGGAGGTGGTTCTTATAGCAGGAGATCTGCCAGGGGCAAATGATGCAGCGGGGAGGGCTTGGAAGCCTGGGGGCGGGGGGGCACTTATGTGTACCTTTCTTCTAGTTGTTCTCTTGCAGCATGATGGGGGGTCAGCAGGTCAGAGGGCACCAAGGACAAGCACAACTGGAGATCCTTAAACCACAGGTTTCATCTAGTCTCAGGGCGTAGGGTCACTGTGAGTCTAATTGACTCAATGGCAAAGGGTTTTAGTTGGGAAGGGTATCAGGAGTCTGTGTATGGTTTATGTGCTGAAAGCTAACTCAAAAGTGGGCGGTTTCAGAGATGCCTCAGAAGAAAACCTTCTGAACAATTAGCCAAAGTGCAGTTATACTCTGACACAGGTGGGCTAACTCACAGGTGAGTCAGAACTGATTTGATGGTAACTAGTCATTGTCGCACTACTCATCTGTCAGTTTGCCATACTGCGGTGGCTTGCATGTGGCTGCCATGTTGGAAGCTATGCCACTGGTATTTTAAATACCAGCAGGGGCACCCATGGCAGGCAGGTTTCAGATGAGCTTCTGAACAAAGACAGACTAGGAAGAAGGAGAGGTGGACCACTTCTGAATGGTTAGCCAATGAAAAGCCAGTGAGTAGCAGAGGAATATTGTTAGATAAAGTGTCATAAGACGAGCCCCCTGGGTTGAAAATACAAACTGCATCTGGAGAAGAGCTGCTTCCTCAAAGTAGAGTTGACCTTGATGTGAATGGAGCAAAGCTTTTGGGACCTTCATTAGCTGATGGGGCACAACTAGAAATAGGGAGAAACAGGTTTTATCATCCATAGTAATCAGGATGTGGAATGTACAAGGTATGAAAACTGGAGTTAATGAAAAATGAAATGGAATGCATAAAGATTGATCTCCTAGGCATTAATAAGCTGAAATGAACTTGTATTTCCCATTTTGAATCAGACAATCACAGGGTTTACTTTACTGAGAATAACAAATTGAAGAGGAATGGTGTCACATTCATTGTCAAAAAGAGCATTTCACGATCTATCTTGAAGTGCAACACTGCCTGTGATAGGATAATATCCATACACCTACAAAAAAAGACCAGTTAATACCAATCTGCACACCAACCACTAAAGCCAGTGATGATTGAAACTGAAGAATTCCACCAACTTCTTCAATCTGAATTTGAACAAACATGCAATCAAGATGCATGACAATTACTAATGATTGGAATGTGAAAGTTGGGAACAAAAAGAAAGGATCAGTCATTGGAAAATATGGCCTTGGTGATAGAAAATGATGCTGAGATTGAATAATAGAATTTTTAAGACCAATGCCTTATTAATTGAAAATACCTTTTTCCACCAACATAAAGACAACTATACATGTGGCCTTCACTAGATGGAATACACAAAAATCAAATGACTACATCTGCGGGAAGAGATAGTGGAAAATCTCAATATCATCAGTCAAAAAAAAAAAAAAAAAAAAACCCAGAAGATTTCTGTGCAACAGATCATAAATTGCTCATATGCAAATTCAAACTGAAGCTGAAGAAAATGAAAATGAAAATAAGTCCACGAGAGCCAAAATATGACCTTGAATGTATCCCACCTGAATTTAGAGATCATCGAAGAACATATTTGATACATTAAACACTAAAGACCCAAGACCAGAAGAGTTATGGGATGACATCAAGAACATCATACATGAAGAACGCAAAAAGTCATTGAGAAAACAAGAAAGAAGGAAAAGGTCAAAATGGATGTCAGAAGAGACATTGAAACTTGCTCTCCAGCATAGAGATGCTAAAGCAAATGAAAGAAATGAGGAGGTCCAAGAGCTGAACAGAAAATTTCAAAGATCAGCTCGAGAAGATAAAGCCAAATATTACAATAAAATGTGCAAAGAT